GTGCCAGCTACGCCATGCTCCTCACTCCTCCTCTCTTCGCCCTGCCACCGCGCCACTCCAGACCCTGCACCTGGACGTCTGGGGCCCAACCCCTGTCCCTGGGCCGCGTCGAGAGCGCTACTTTCCAAGGCTTGTCGACGACTACATGCGCTACACAATGGTTTTTCTCTTCGAGCGGAAGGCTGACATGCCTGACGTTCTTATCTCGTGGGTCCTAGCTGCGTGAGTTCACCGTGGTCTCCCTGTGCTGTATCTCCACTCTGTCCGTGGCGGCGAGTTTGCCTCCGGTCGGCTTGGCCAGTTCTGTCGTGCAGAGGGCATCACCCACTCGTACACACTACCGGACTCCTCGCAGCAGAATGGGGTCGCTAAGCGACGCATCGGCTTGGTCATGGAGGTGGATCATACCGCCATGATCCATGCCGGTGCACCCCATTTTCTGTGGCCATTCGCTGTTCGCTATGCTGCTCACCGACTTAACCTCTAGCCACACTCCCAGCGGCCGCAGATTTCGCCTACCCTCCTCTGGACCGGGTCCCCTTGTGACACGTCGGCGTTCCACGTCTTGGGGTGCCTTGTTTCCTCTGGCACGGACAAGCTCACTGCCTGCACTGTCCCTTGTTTCCTCTTTGTTTTTCCCCTCGACTCGTCTGACTAGCGCTTTTACCACCCGCCGTCTCACCGCTTCCTTTATTCGCGTGACGTCACTTTCGACGAGTCTGTCACCTTCTACCGCCGCTTTCCCCACCAAGGTCTCCCGCTTTCCCCGCCCCTGATTCTGGTTCCCACTCCCCCGGTAGCCCCTGTTCCTCTCCCCCCCCGTCCTGCCCCTAGTGGTGTGTCTCACGTCACTCCCCTCCTGTCGGTTGTCCCGGTCGAGGAGTCGGCTGACTCCGATGGCCCTGCGGCGCAGTTCTCGCCGTCTGTCTCTGCCCTGGTGTCTCCTCCTTCGCCGACGTCACCGTCGCAGCAGCAGCCGCCGCTGCCGCCGGCGGCTCAGCGGCAGCCGTCCGTGGGCTCTGGGGTTGCTGTTTCTGGGGGTGCTAGTCCTGGGGTTATTGTCGTGGCTTGTCCCAGTGGTCTCACGGGTGGCACTGGTGCTGGCGAGGGCTCTTGTTTTTGGCGTGCTGGAGTGGAGAATTCCGGAGGAAGCCGTGGTGCGGCCGGAGGTTCTGGTGTCGGAGTGGAGCAGCAGCAGTAGCAGTAGTCGCCGCCTGTTTCCGCCCTTCGCCTACTTGGCCTCTCCTCCCCTGACCTCCCGCCTGCGCCTCCCTCGTCGCTACCTCCCCTACCTGTCTACAGCCCTGTCTTTCCTCTGCCAGACTCATCTCTGGCTCGTTTTGCCCCCCGTTCTCCTCTTGTGTCTCATGACCTGACACCTCCTTCTGACGTCTGGTCTCGGCATCCATCCCGTGCTCGTCCTTTCTCTCATGTTCAACGCTCTCACCCTATATTGCTTCGTTGCGCCTCGTCCTCCCCTCCTCCCGTCACCTCCTCCGTCGTCGCTTGTTGTCGCTTCGCCTCCTCTATCTCATCTTTCGTGCCACTAGTCCTCTTGTTCCTCGGGTCCTTGCCTCTCTTGTTACCGACCCGTCTATTCCTGTCTCCAGTCTTGACGCTCTTGTCGATGCCGTCGCTGATTTCGCCTCTACCCGCCGCCTTGACTATGCCACCACTCTGGTCTCTGAACTTGTCCGTCCTCCGTCCGTCGGGGGTGCTCCTCCCCTTGGCAGTGACGCCCTGGAGGACCGGCAGTACGAGATTGCTTTTCTGTCTGAGGCCACGCCTCATCTCTGCTCCATGCTGCTAGTCCCAGAGGGGGACCCAAACGCCTTTGACATCCCGACCCCTCGCACCTATGCTGAGGCGACCTGGGGACCCTGGGTCTCTTAGTAGATACAGTAGCTACCATGGACGCGGAGAAGGCATCTTGGAGATCCACTGGCACCTACGTCGACGCAGTTCCCCCACCTGGGGTGAACGTAGTCGATGGCTGGTGGCTCTTCAAGGTGAAGCGCCCCCCTGGAGAGCCGCCTGTGTGTGCTACGTGGCTAGAGGCTTTTGTCAGCGAGAGGGTGTGGACTTCTTCCAAACCTTCGCCCCGAACCCGAAGATTACTACTTCGGGCGCTGCTACACGTAGCAGCACAGCGTGACTACAAGCTGCACTCTCTCGACTTCTCGACAGCTTTTCTTCAGGGAAAATTCCACGAGCAGGTCTACCTGCGTGGTCCGCCAGGCTTTACCAGCACCTTTCCTCCGATGACCCAGTAGCTCCTCCGGCGCGCGGTTTACGGTCTTCGGCAGGCCTTGCGCAAGTGGCACGACACGCTGCGTGCCACACTAGTTGACCTGCAGTTCTTCCCGTCAGCTGCAGACCCTTCAATTTTTGTTCGTGCTGGCCAGACCCCGTTCTACATCCTAGTCCACGCAGACAACCTGGTCTTTGCTACTGCATATAGAGATGCACTGGCCTCAATGAAGGTTGAGCTATTGAGGAGACACACCTGCACTGACCTAGGAGAGCTGCGCCGTTACCTTGGCTTGCAGATCTCCAGGGACAGAGCAGCGCGCACCATCACTCTCACACAGTCACACTTGGTGCGCCAGGTCCTTCAGAGGTTCGGCCTTCAGTTCTCCTCCGCACAGCTCACACCTCTGTCAGTAGATCACAGGCTGTCGGCTCTAGACCCTGAGGAGTCTGTAGAGCCTAGTGTTCCTTATGCAGAGCTGGTGGGTTGCCTCATGTACCTAATGACTTGCACTCGTCCTGATCTCACATACCCTCTCAGCATCGTGGCTCGCTCTGTGGCGCCAGGCAGATACCGACTGCAGCACTAGTCGGCCGCTAAGAGGGTTTCACGTTATCTAGCAAGTACATCGGGCATGGGGCTACTGCTAGGAGAACGCAGGCTAATGGTCCTTACTGGGCACACTGATGCTTCGTGGGCGGACGATGCTGAGACGCTCAGGCCCTCGCAAGGCTACTACATTAGCCTTGGTTCATGTGCCATCTCGTGGAGGTCCACCCGCTCGTTGCCTGTTGCCCAGTGGAGCTGCGAGGCCGAGATCTACGCTGGTGCCATGGCGGCACAGGAGCTCAGCTGGCTGACTTTCTTGATCACAGACTTAGGTGATCGGCCTAGCTCTACCCCGGTCCTATACGCTGACAACAGGGCCATGATCCTCTTGTGTCAGAAGCCTCGATTGGAGGGCAGAGCGAAGCACATTGAGCTACGATACTTCCTCCTGCACGAGCTACAACAGCGTCGCCAGGCCCGTGTAGTACACTTGGCCTCAGGTGCCAACACAGCTGATATCTTTACGAAGGCAATTGCGCCTACAGATCATGAGTGGCACTGTATACATCTTGGTCTAGTCCCTGTAGCTTCTCATTTGGTAGGACCCTGACTTTATACTGCTGCTTAGATTATCTTGATTGGCCTTGTGGTTCTTGTTCCAGTGGCTGGACTAGTAGTGCCGCTCTGGGTTACACTTGTCTAGTTTGTACTCTTACTGACTGGCCTTCAGACCCTTGCCTCAGGGGTTGGACTAGTAGTGCCACCCTGAGCTGTGTGTCTCTTGCTAGTCGCTGCCCCTTGTCTAGCCTAGGGGGTGTGTCAATATATAATAAAATACGTTATAGGCTAGCTAGGTGCATGCTTCTATAAGGTACAACCCATTAAGCTATATCCCCTTGTAGAATCTCTTACTAGTTATCTTTTCTCACGCTGATATGTGTAGCCCAATTAATTGCTGTCGTTTGTTGTAGAACTGGATGTCGAGTATATATTTGATGTATATATTTATTTAGGCTTGGTAGATGTGCTACGGTACTAGATGTTACTGTAGATGCGCCTTGCTGCAACCCACCCCCCCCCGCCCCCCCCCTGCATCTTCCCTTACTCCAGCCGCAGCTGATGGCTCCATGCTCGGTCTTCGCCGGGTCGTGCCACGCCGCCGGGTGCCGCGAGACCAAACGTCGTCGCCGCCGCCGCCATCACCGCAGATGCTTTTGCCGCCGCCCGCCGGGGGTGTCACGGCTTCGCACGAGGGGCAAACGTCACAGTTGCTGAAGGGCATGGGGGTGCACGGGCATGGGGGTGCAAGGGTGTTGGGTGGGCTTTCAACTACCAAGCCTAGGGGGTGTATCAAATATATATTTGATATATATATTTATTTAGGCTTGGTAGATATGCTATGCTACTGGATGTTACTGTAGAGGGGACAACCCCCATTCTTGTATCTCCTCCTCTTTCCTAGTCGATCTCTTTTTTCCTCTCGATACTTTTCCCTCGTAGCTAAACCCTCACGCCATTCTCATGGCTTCCTAGCTTGTTCGACACTGGCTTCTGACAGAAACTCCAAAGAAGCCCTCACAAACATGGTGAATAAGGCACTTGCCTTTTTTGTTTGTCAAGGGGGGATCCAAGGCAATTACGAGCCTAATGCACTTGCACTTTAGGAGAGAAATCTCGTTAGAAGTATGTTTTGTTTATTTCCCGTGTATTTGATTTTGCATTCACGAGGAGGGTTTAAGGGTTGGTGAAAATGAAAACGTAAGAACTGTAGTGTATATGGACCTACACTACATTCTTCATTCCGTCGCACTGAGGTCCGAAGATTCCCGCCATTGTCCGCTGCACTGCCCGGCCTGCTCCACTCTCGCATCCCCGACCGTACAGTGCACACCTTGTTCAGCCCGCACCCGCATAGATACAGAACCTTCACCTCATGTCATGCCCTTCCAATAGCCCGTCTACTCCACAACACAAATCGCCTCGCCCGTCTACTCCACAACACAAGTTGAGTCTGAACCCAGAACGCCTCCCCGTGTCAATGGCTGTCTCGAACTGCGTTCGAATCTGAGGGCGTGTCCCAAGAGTACGTTTGATTGCGGTTGGATGAGATGCTCACTGATTTCAAACGGATCAGATAGTTTTATCAAAGGGTTGAGTACGGTTTTAGCGTGAAAACGTACACTTGGGACACGTAGCATTTACGAGGAAATGGAGTCATAGGAGGCAGCTGAAATTATAAGTCGTCATTTTCAAATCGTTCTAGAAAGGCGGCAACGACATAAGTCGGACTTCTCGTGCACCGACCATGACGTTTCGCAAGATTCGTCGCGTGTTGTAATAATAACCTCCTTAATTATTTCCTACCCTGACACCTGTAAGGCATGAGCCTAGAAGAGCTGAGTGCGTGGTTAGAGCATTTTAGAGAGGATGGTCCCTAGGTCGCAAGCTTTGATGGCAACACGGCGATACCTCTTAAAAATGGCCAGACCTTTCAGTTATCACCGCTTCAATACTAACACATCCCGTTACAGTTGCAACAGTTACGAACTTCAGTGCCGTAGTAGTAGGCAGTATCGGTTCTTAACTCCAGTCTTAACCGTATGCCTGTTAGCCTCCTTCTCCTGCTTCGCACCTGCTGTCATCGCCCAGACGTTGGCACCGTCCCAAGGTAGCGCCTTCCCCACACGCCATATCCCGCATACCTCCCCCCACGTACTACCTTCACCTCCCTGCCTTTCCCCGCATGCTTTCCGCCTGTCCCGCATTTCTCCCGGGGAATTCCCAGTGTGTTGCTAGTGCCGCAACTACGATGTTTCTTTTGAGTCGACTCAAAAGTCAGCTCGTTATCCCGCAGAAGTCCCAGTGTGTTGCTTGCTAGTGCCGCGACTGCGATAAGCAAGGCGAGCTCGCTCTCGCAAACCTTGTAGTGCGTTCATTCACAGTGCACCCGCAACCCCCCCAACACGCCCCCACTGCATCCCCCACCACATGTCCCTAACGCTGTCCCTCCCCACGCCCCTTCTGCCGCGAAACTCACGGGGCCCTGTCTCCCCCGTTCCCCGCAGCGGCGGTGCTGGCGGAGTGCCAGCGGCAGTGGGGCGCAACGTTCCCCGGATGGACGGCAGGGGGGGAATGCGCGGATGCTTTTCAATTGTCGTGCGACTCGGATGGCATGATCTTAGCCATGTGAGGCCATGGGTGGGGTGCGATGATTCCATGTGATGTCATTTGATATCATGCCATGTGATGCCATGTGATGCCATGTGATGCCATGTTATGCCATCCATGCCATGCTGAAGCATGTATCTCCCCTTTTCCAAGCCTCACCTTTTCCCGTCCACCAACTCCCTCTCTCCCCTCCCTGCCCTCCCTGCCCTCTCTCCCCTCCCTGCCCTCCCTGCCCTCTCTCCCCTCCCTGCCCTCCCTGCCCTCCCTGCCCTCCCTGCCCCCTCTCCCCCCCGCCCTTCCTGCCCTCTCTCCCCCCCCTGCCCTTCCTGCCCTCTCTCTCCCCCCTGCCCTTCCTGCCCTCTCTCTCCCCCCTGCCCTCCCTGCCCTCTCTCCCCCACTGCCCTCCCTGCCCTCTCTCCCCCGCCTGCCCTCCCTGCCTTCTCTCCCCCCCTGCCCTCCCTGCCCTCTCTCCCCCCCCTCCCCTCCCCCCCTCCCTCCCCTCCCTCCCTTCCCTCCCTTCCCTCCCCTCCCTCGCCTCCCTCCCTCCCTCCCCTCCCCGCCCTCCCCCTTGTGTGCGCGCGCGCAGGACTTTGGAGCACTACGGCGACGATGGGGCGTCCCTGGGGTCCATTCCCGATGCCCTCAGCAACCTCTCTCGCCTCACGCTGCTGACGTCAAGTGAGTGGTGCGCTTCGGGCAATGCTGCTATAGGATCCATTCCCTCCCCTATCGAAGCTTACCCTCTCTCGTGTGCGAGAGGGGACACCATTTCACTTTTTCAACCTTTCTCTCCTCTCGTCCTGATGCTCTCCTCCCCTCCATTCCCTCCCCCTACCCCTTCCCCACCTCCCCCTATTTAGGTGAACGAGATGGCGATGAAGAGCCACCTGAATCTGGTACGGCTGATGAGGTACTGCTTCGACATCAGCCCGGACACGGAGCGCATGGAGCAGATCGTCATCTACGAGTTCGTCGACAATGGCGAGCTGGATTGGCCCCCGTGAGCTCTCAACACGACCTTGGTCTCTTGGGGCTTGTTGGCCATGCATGTGGGATCATGCACGCATGTTACATGTGCAACCAACAATTGAAGTACATCTCCGCAACACTCTGTACTGCACATGCATTACGCCCGCACCATCCATGCAGGGTGTCCCCATCCCCTGTCTGTGTGTGTGCGGCTGGACATTCTCATTGGCATGGCCCGTGGTCTCGAGTACCTGCACAGCTTTGGCATTGTGCATCGCGACATCAAGCCAGCCAACAGCCTGCTGGATAAGAACATGCAGGTATGGAAAATTGTTTTCCTCACATATTTGTTCGTAATATCTAAGTGACTGGATCTAAATCAATCATTCAATCATTCCAATCATTCTCCCCTGCTGCAGGCCAAGATTGCAGACTTTGGGCTTGTGAGGCATGGCGAGGGCACATTAGTGATTGCCACGCGAGTGATGGGCACACCGGGCTATGTGGACCCCGCTTACTACAAGTCACAGAAGGCAACGCCGAAGGCCGATGTGCACAGGTATTGATGAGAATAGGAATTGCAATATTGCAGCCACCAACCTTTTGTTGGATCAACATTCGAGTGAAACATTTGTGGCCAACGTATTCCTCTATTCTCTTTCAGCTTCGGAGTGGTGACGTTGACGCTCATCATGGCTCGCAAGGCCATCACGGCCTTCAAGGACCCGCAGCTGGAAGCGCTGGACGACTTGGTGCTGCGCATGGCGAAGCTGGCCCTCAGCTGGACCGCCATGCCCACGGCCTCCCGCCCCTCCATCAGCCGCATCCTCGGCTAGCTGCTTGTGATAAAGGAGAAGTTTCTGGGGCAGGAGGAGGACCGGATGGCTGCGAGGATCGACCCCGAATTGGAGAACTCCACGGATTCCAATGTGAGCATGGAGATCGCCCGCGCTCAGGGAGCTCGTAGTAGCGGAGGGCTGTCAATCAACCCTTGAGCCTAGTGTCAACCTAAACATATATTTGTATGTAGAAGTTATAGGCTAGATAGGTGTGTGTTCTTAGAGGCTACAGCTCCAACCCTATTTCTCCCTTGTTCTCACCTGTTCTAGTCATTCTCGTATTCTAACATGGTATCATGAGTAGGTTAGGTCCGCCCACCCGCTTCCGCCCCTAGCCCTAGCCTATCGCCCCGCTGGCCCTTAGCGCGCCCGCCGTCCCCTAGCTTACTGCCGGCCCCTAGCGTGCCCGCCACCCCTAGCGTACCCCGCCGGCCCCTCGCGCCTAGACGGCCCCATGCGCCTAGCCGGCCCCACGCACCTAGCCGCCCCCCTAGCTTACCCGCCGGCCCCTCGTACCCAGCCGGCCCCTCGTGCACCTCACCGGCCCTTCGCGTGCCCGCCGCCCCTTCAGCGCTGCGCTGACCTCTAGTGTGCCCGCCGGCCCCTCGCGCACCTCGCTGACCCCTCGCGTGCCCGCCGCCCCTTAAGCGCCGCGCCGGCCCCTCATGTCTCCCACCGGCCCCTAGTGCGCTGTGACGGCGTGCGCCTCGCCGGCCCTTCGCGCTCGCCGGCCCCTTAAGCGCCCGCCGGCCCCTCCCGTGCCCGCCGGCCCTTCGCGCTTCTGCTGCCGCTTCGCGCCTCGCCTGCCCCTTCGCGCCTCTCCGGCCCTTAGCACATCACCGGCCACTTAGCGCCTTGTTGGCCCCTAGCGCTCTTCTGGCCCTTAGCTCCCTGCCGGCTCTGCGCGCCCTGAGCCCTGCACACCTCAGGCCGTCCTCGGCCTTCCGCCCGGTCTTCTCGCCGGAGAGTCCTACCGCAGTGTCGCTGAGTACCTGTGCCGCTGCTGTGTCGCTGTGCCGCTGTGCCGCCGTAACGCTGTGCCGCCGTAACGCTGTGCCGCCGTAACGCTGTGCCGTTGAGGTTACGCGATGGCGGACGCCATGCTTCGCCTGTACGCGGAGGGGCACGCGATCGACTTCGCCACCTGGCTTGTCGATCTCCGCCGTCACCTGACAGGTCAGCGCCAGGATGGGCACTGCCTGGCTATGCATGTTGATGGCTCGCTTCCCCGCCCCCCCGCGCCTGATCCCCTCCCTGCTGAATCCCATCACTGCAGAGAGTGAGGCTTTTGCTGCTGCTGCGCTCGCTCGCGCAGTCTGGGACTCTCGCGACGCTGTAGCGCAGCTCTCCATTAGTCATGCACTTCCCCTGTCCGAGCGTTCGCGCTTCACTGCTGTCGCAAACGCCAAAGATTTCCTAGATGCCGTAGTTGCGCGCTACTCCACACCCGCCTCCGCCTCCACTGGCCGCTTGATCCTCCCCATGATATTCCCCCATCTTTCTGCTTTCCCATCGTCGCTTTCCCCATCTTTCTGCTTTCCCCATTGTCGCTGACCTCGCTACTCACTGCCACTGAGACCGCATCTATGGCCTTCCCGCAGCAGCGACAGCGTCGGGGCCATCACGGCCCCAAGGGAGGGCGTGATGGTGGTGCTGGTGGTGGTGGTGGCGAAGACAGTGGTTCTGACGAGGGGGCTGGGGCTGGTATCCAAGAGCAGCAGCAGCCGCAGCAGATGCAGCAAAAGCAGTCACGGCAACAGCAACAGCAGCAGCAGCAGCAACCGCAGTAGCAGCAGCATCCGTGGGCCCGCCTCCTGTCGGGGTGGCCAGGAGCTTCTGGACGTGGTGGCCGCGGTGGCGGCCCTTGCAGCTCGGCGTCTACCGGCGGGTTCGGTGCTGTGAGCTGCCAGTACGGGCCCCTCCATGGCACTGTGTGCCGCCGCTCGCACCCGACCGCCCGCTGCTTCCGCCGCCTCAACGACCTCTTCCGTCGCCGCTTCGGCCCGGCCCTTGACCTCCCCGACTGGCCCAGTCTGCTGCGCCATGGTGTGCCTGTTTTTGACTTAGACATGGATCAGATTAGTTGTGCCCTGCTTTCTCTGTATGTTGATGCTTCTAGTGTGTCCGAATCCTATTACCCTGTGTTCTCTAGCTTAGGCATAGCACCTGTGTGTAGTGCAGATTCCCCTACTACGTCAGGCGTAGAACCATTTGCTTTGTCTAGCCTAGGCTCTACACTCGCTCCTCCTTCGTCTACCGCTACTGCTTCGCAGTCCTTCACACTTGACTCCGATGCATTTGCCTGCTTCTTCCGCGACCCCTTGCACCTACGCTGAGGCGACCTCGGGACCCTGGGCCTCTCAGTGGATAGCTGCCATGGAGCAGGAGATGGCATCTTGGAGATCCACCAGCACCTACATCGACGCAGTTCCCCCATCTGGGGTGAACGTAGTCGATGGCCGGTGGCTCTTCAAGGTGAAGTGTCTTCCTGGAGAGCCGCCTGTGTTCAAGGCGCGCTACGTGGCTACGTCAGCGCGAGGGTGTGGACTTCTTTCAGACCTTCGCCCCGACCCCGAAGATGACTACGCTTCGGGCACTACTACACGTAGCAGCATAGAGTGACTACGAGCTCCACTCCCTCGACTTCTCCACTACTTTTCTTTAGGGCAGCCTTCACGAGCAGGTCTACCTGCGTCGTCCATAGGGCTTCACTGGTACCTTCCCTCCTGGGACCCAGTGGCTCCTCCGTCGCCCAGTCTATGGCCTGCGACAGGCGCCGCGTGAGTGGCACAACATGCTACATGCCACGCTAGCTGACCTCCCGTTCTTTCCGTCCTCCGCAAACCCCTCGCTCTTTGTTTGGGGTGGCAAGACTCCGTTCTACATCCTAATCTACGTAGCTGACCTGGTCCTCGCTACTGAAGACAGAGACACACTGGCCTCCGTGAAGGCCGAGCTGCTGAGGAGACACACCTGCACTAACCTAGGAGAACTGCGCCGCTCCCTTGGCTTGCAGATCTCCAGGGACAGAGCAGCATGCACCATCACTCTCTCACAGTCACACTTGGTGCGTCATGTCCTTTAGAGGTTCGGTCTTCAGTTCTCCGCACAGCCCACACCTCTGCCGGGAGACCACAAGCTCTCAGCTCTAGTTTCTGAGGAGTCAGGAGAGCCCAGTGGTCCTTACGCAGAGCTGGTGGGTTGCCTCATGTACCTGATCTCTGGTGCGCTAGGTCCTTCAGAGATTTGGTCTTCAGTTCTCCTCCGCACAGCCCATACCTCTGCCAGTAGACCACCAGCTCTCAGCTCCAATTCCTGAGGATTCAATAGAGCCGCGTGGTCCTTACGCAGAGCTGGTGGGTTGCCTCATTTACTTGATGACTTGCACTCGTCTTGATCTCGCTTACCCTCTCAGCATCCTGGCGCACTTTGTGGCCACAGGCAGACACCAACCACACCACTGGTCGGCCGCTTAGAGGGTTTTGCGTTACCTAGCAAGTAGATTGGGCATGGGGCTAGTGATGGGAGGACGCAGGCCAATGGTCCTTATTGGGCACACAGACGCTTCTTGGGCAGATGACGCTGAGACCCTCATGTCCTCCCAGGGCTACTGCTTTAGCCTTGGTTCGGGTGCCATCTAGTGGAGGTCCACATGCTCGTCGTATGTTGCCCAGTCTAGCTGTGAGGTTGATATCTACGCCGGTGCCATGGCGGCACAGGAGCTCCGCTGGCTGACCTTCTTAGGTGAGCAGCCTAGCTCTGCCCCGATTCTATACGCCGACAACAGGGCCATGATCCTCCTGTGTCAGGAGCCTCGACTTGAGGGCAGAGCGAAGCACATCCAGCTGCGGTACTTCCTCCTGCGCGAGCTACAACAGCGTCGCCAGGCCCGCGTAGTCCACTTGGCTTCCGGTGCCAACACAGCTGATATCTTTACGAAGGCGCTTGCGCCTAAAAATCATCAGTGGCACTGTGTACAGCTTGGTCTAGTTCCTGTAGCTTCTCACTTGAAAGGACCTTGATTGTGTACTATATCTTATATTACCTTGACTGGCCTTGTGGCTCCTGTTCCAGTGGCTAGACTAGTAGTGCCGCCCTGGGTTACTCTTGTTTCCTTTGTACTCGTGCTGATTGGGGTTTGGACCCCTTCCTCAGAGGTTGGACTAGTAGTGCCTCCCTGAGCTGCGTGTTTCTTGCTCAGCACTACCCCTTATCTTTCCTAGGGGGTGTGTCAACTTATACATATATTTGTATGTAGAAGTTATAGGCTAGATAGGTGTGTGTTCTTAGAAGGTACAACTCTAACCCTATTTCTCCCTTGTTCTCACCTGTTCTAGTCATTCTCGTATTCTAACACTTCGTAGTTGATCAGTGAGAAGGATATTCTCTGGGTTTTGTATAGTTTCTTCAAGACATCCCATTTCACTTCCATTTGCAGCAACCCTATAAGTTTCTTAATTCTTTTGTGTTCCTTACTTCCTTTTGCAATGAATACGCTCACATTAAGACACGTCTTAGAATGGGATGTTGTTCTATGAGCAACAACAGGCGGTTTCAGCAGGAGTTTGAATTCAATATTGAACGACATTAGTCCCTGCTTGTACAATGACCGTTGTTTCCATGCAGGGGGTTGGGTTGTATCGAGATGGAGCATATGGGTAGTTGTGTTTTTTATGTATATGTGTATAAGGGGAAGCTTTTTCAAAAGCAAATACAAAATGACCAATCAGACCAGGCTATGGGAAAAAATTGCACCCTTCATGCATAGCCAAGAAATTGTCATATTTGTTTAGTTGCCAATGCGTAAGCATATTGTATTCACTTCCATTTGATTATTCGCTGTAAGGAAATGGTATTTCCTTATCACGGTTTTAAGTAAGGCGTACATTGCTATATTAGGGTTGTCGCGCAGCTCTCCCACAAAATTCAAATCGCGGTCTCAAATGTGGTCTCCTGACGAACCGCATACATTGTTGCCCGCCTTGCTGTTGCATGCCTGGATGTGGGCGCTCCGCGCCATTTTACGAACCACACGTCGCAGCTCTGTTGAGCCACCACCGTGTGCTCCTAGGCTAGCTATATCCATGCTCCCTGCTATTTGATGTGCTCAATTGTATTGTTTTCCTCTCTAATCAATCCTTCGACACACGCTCTTTGCAATTCATTATACCTGGCCATCAGAGCCAACGATCCTGAGCCTTGCGCTATAGTTTCCGCTGCAATACCGACGCTTACGGGGGCTGACGCCCTATGCTTATTGCATATCCGCTGTCCTGGTAATAT